ATTTACTTGCATTTCTATATTTAGTTTGAGAAAAGTCGTTTTGAACGCCCTCGTGTGTAATTTTCATCCGAAATTGATTTAAACAGTTGTCATATGACAAAGATGTAGAAAGATATGGCCAAGTTATCTAATTCCGTCTTGTAACGATTCGTTCTGCACATCTCGGGATATAAACAATAACAATCATAGGAAATGCTTTCACTTTGAAAAAGTGTTTTAGATGAATCAAACTCACGGTTCCATTACATTTGAACCCACGATAATTGCACCTGCATACAATTGCACCTATGGAAATTTGCACCTACGGATATTTGAACCCATACTAACCCTAACCCATAGATTTTAGCACCCGCATATAGATTGAACCCGCGGATATACAGGTGCAAATGTACGGTCACCCAAACACACAGCTTCTCAGACTTTTCAATCTCTCGACGTGATTACAGTTAAAGCTTAAACTGTATTGGTATCGTAGGTTACTGTGGCGTAGACAATAATTTTGAAGGGGGCGGGGGGGGGGGGTTCTGAAATTTCTGATTGTCAAGTCAGACCGGAACAGCTAACGGGTCCAGCCGGAAGCCGAGTTAAAATTCTCTTCTTACATTTCCTATTTTCAACTCCCTGGATCCGCCCCAGGTAGGTTACACCTCCTCGATTCAACCGCATGCCTTCAATGAACCCAGGGTGCAATAAATTTAGTAGGCAATGCTGGAGAAGTAAAAAAAATTCAAAATATCAGTTTATTACATATCAGTGTCTGCTTTTACAGGCCTTTTTCCTAGAAATGGCGTGAATAAGCGTCATAGAAGACAAATTACCTATAATTCTGTCTCGGAAGGATGTGAGTCATCCAATGTATTTATTGAAGATAAAAGTCGAATCAAGACAACTTAGTAGATCGGTAGGAAATCGTTAGAATCAGATCTTCACATGGTGATATCTCGGGTATCTGATTAGATTTTGATAAGTTTGTTTATCTTATCTATCAAGTTTGATGTTATCGAGATGTTACCGATTCCACGAACAAGTCCTGTAACTTCAAACGTTAGATTGTATGTTTGATAATTACGGACGTTTCCGTTAGAAAATGCGTTGGTGACAGGTCATACCCTCCACAACTATTAGACCAATCTATTCAAATATTTCATTACTTGAAGATGATACTTTACCCTGGATCTTGCTATTTCCTTGAACATTTTGCTGATACGGATCCAGGAAGTAGGAATTAAACAAAGAGAAAGTACTTACAGTTCAGTGCACTATGTCGCGGCACCCGCATATCTGAGAATTTAGCTTACACCTGTCCTGTGCAATAACAGCATCGTTGTGAGATGTGGTTATATATATAATTTCACAATAGCCCCTTGAATGGCTCCTATCAGTGAAGAGCTATTGGGCTGCTTTATAGAGAATAGGGGCGCATATATATGGTCTTAATCGTCATTTAAATTTTCTCCTCCATACAGGGTCATTGGAATAGGGAGTTATGTTTAGTCCCAATTGCAATTTGAACGGCATCCACTCTGCAGAGGGGCTATTGGTCTGCTATACAGATAGGCTTACCATACGTCCCGCTTTAGGCGGGACAGTCCCGCTTTTCAGCGTTTTGTCCCGCCGTCCCGATAAGTCAGCCAAAAGTCCCGCTTTTCCAGCATAATACACAAACATGTTCTCGTTACTGTTGTTTCTGTGTAGCGCAGCGCTAGTCTACTTACTGAAGGTGAAGGTGTTCGTTTCCCGCTGATTCCCATTGATGGCAGACGTATCGCATGTAAAACCAATACTAATTAGTCTAAATTCGAATTATTTGTACCGGTATCGTTAACGTCAATTCCTTCCTATTTTTCGAACTGAACCCGATATTTGGACAGAGAATATGCGCATGAAATTTCGATAACAATATGGTCAATAAAGACAGCCGAGACAGCTTTAAATGTAGGAATGTAGGGCTATGTAGTAAAATCGGAAAATGTGAAGTTATAAAATCACAGCTAAGGGGTCGTTGTCTATCAAGGCGTCCCGATTTGAAGTCACAAAAATATGGTAACCCTATATATAGACAACAAGCTAAGAATTGGGCTAGATAGATGACCCTAATTGTCATTTGAATGGTCTCTCTGTGTACGGCTATTTTACTAAAATTATAAAGCGACATCCAAAATTCAAATGGCGTCTTCCACAGAGGTGGCAGCTGCAATAAATCAATCGCTTATACAAACGTCGTTAGCGTCACGTTGTTTATCACGCTCGGTTATCAGTGAGAAAACAAACAAACGAATCCGAAACTTTGGAACCGGTACCGACGGTCTCTGTTTATTATTTTAACAAATGTAATTTATTTCCTGAAAGTTCAAACGACTGGGCTATGACGTCATTGGGATGTTGTTATTTACTTTTACGTATGACGTAGCGAGTGACTGCTATCATGCTTATTCATAGTAAATGGATGATTGACTGTTAAGTTAACGATATAGTTCAGCCAATGTGGATGTCTATGCCTGAAATTTCTAATTGTCGAGTTAGGCCGTATTTGAGGGTCTAAAAAGCGTTGAAAGCTACGAAAAATTGCTATGTAAATATATTCCGGGCGACCATTGAAATTCCATGAGCTGCTGAAAATTTATTATACAGCGTAGCAATAAGCGACAGCAAGAGCTGATTGACGTGACATTTGAAAAACATTTTCGCATTTCATGTTGTAGCCTATGTTATTTTTACCTCAGCGTTCTTAATTTATAAGACAAGGAATTTCTATAAATTGCATTTATACCATTGCGTGTTTACTCGAATTTATCCGCGTGGAAACAAATTCTCATCCTTAAGTTGGAGGCATTATCTGCCGTACTATGAATTGCTGAAACCTCAAGTTTATACAAAACTAAATGCCAAACCCAGCATTACATTTCTGTGGTCGCTGCAACATCCGCATCAAAGTAATAGATGTGTGTAATGTATTGAATGCTGAACATGTATATATTGAGGTTACCGATGAAGTGCATATTAGATGAGACAAGTGCCTGGCGGAAGTACACACTCAACTATATGTGCTCATAAGAAGCACTGTTATTGAGAATGTGAACATGTATAAATGCACACTCATGTATTCATTCATCGATATACACAGTTGTTGGTAACGTGCGCATTTAACGTAACGTTCACACATTTACACAGATTAAGAAAGGCACTTTTTGACGTAGGTATAAACATATTTAAGTACACTAATCTCGAATGCACACACAAAACGCACTGTTGTTGAAAGCACTTACACAGTACTTACTTTGATGTTCTGAATAATATGTATTAGATTTATGTAAAGCGTGTTACCTCATAGTGGCATAGCATACACATTTTCTGAAACCTGGAAACCTGGTAAGAAACAGACGCAAGAGTATATAATAAATTACTATTTCCAATATTTCGCAAAAAACCAAAAGTATATGTACCGGTTGTGACGTTCAAGTTGATATTTACTGATATTTGACAAGGCATAAAAATGGGCAAATAGTTGTTGTTCTACTATTAAATTCCCGCACTGTTTGCCACGAAAAATGCAGTTACGCATTTCTCACCAAAACGACACCTAGTGGCAAGATCGCACATTTTCATGATCCAGGATAGGGTTTTACATGGCTATCAGACCATGTCGGATATGAGATCAGTTGGCCAGTTATTGGTGCATAGACTTGATGGTGGCGGAAGCCGTTACCAACCACGGTTACGTTAACAACCCTACGTAGGCGAGTATTCAAGCAATCCTCTGGCACATAATGATCTCTCCAAGGGATTCAAACCTGCGAAGAGCCGTAAGGTAATCATATATCACATTAGTTTTCATTCTGAGAACGTTCAGATGAGATCATTCACGTTGATCTGGACGCGAATCATTCAAGACAATGCAGTTTGAGTTTACTAAACAAACAATTATGAATGGAATCCAAATTTTAATCACATTTAAGATTTTTCAGCGTCATCAAATTCTATTGTTTTATGGTTGAGTTGATAAACAGATTATGATCAGGTCAAATATATTAAATATTCGGCTAATCTCTTCTCCCTCCTTCGTTTAGTAGTAACGTCGCAGAAAGATTGAAATTCTCAATCTCTTACGGGCGGAAGAAATGACGATAATATGGCTTTATCATGAGGCAAACTCTCGTGCCATCACCAATCTATGTCGGATTTGGGATTCCACCCTATATATTGACTCCATTTCGCCACCTAGTGGCGCTCTATAAGACATTGATGTATCATGATGTCGATATTTTATATAATAGTAAAAGCCGGGTTAAGTTTGTTTGTTTTTTATTTTGTTTTCTAGTATGACTTCGTTTGCATACATGACTAAATATTTTTTTTGGTTTTCGAGACTTTGTTACAAATTCCAAAATCTACTCTCACTACTACCCCGCAGCTTTTTCACAAGAGACACTTACTTTCGATGCGCGGAGTATTTTGTTTGAATCTTTTGCCAATTAGCAGTTTTGTCACTGTCGCGCTACACGGGGTTAAAATAATTATTCAGAGCTGGTTTTAGGAAGAGCGATATTTTTCTTGTTCGGTAAATCGTACAGACTGCAACGCGTATATTTTTAAACATCATCTGTCTCTTAGGAATCAGTGGCTACTTGCTCGAAGCCTTGGTTAAATTGAGAGCGTAGGAAAACCCTATACGAAACACCGAATACAGGAATTTACTCATCATTGTACACAATTCCATCTGAGGTACCCGGGGTGCAGTAGCATGTTGCAAGCCCAATCTTTATCACAGACGCTCACTGGTGAACTAATCCAACCCACCCTACCTCATTACCCCACCAACACGTGGCATTTAAAAAAGGGATTGAAATGGGTTCAATTAATTCACTCGCAGCTCTATTTGGGATGCCTGGGGATGTGATAACACGATTTAATCACAATCTATATCAATACTAATGATATGCTTGCTAGTTTTCATTCCTGCAGTCATACCCAGTCAATCTCATAACTATATCCAGGCAAAGTTTTAAAAAACAATATTTTATTTTACATTTAAAAATAACACCAGCAATAACGCCTTAAAGCAAACATGGAACAGTCTCGCAGATTTATATTTTTACAAGTAGATAGGTTTCAATGCCATGGTGTTACATTTCTGCACGAATAGGAAGAATTTAGAATGAGAGAGGGGGTGTTGGAATATGAAGCAATAGAGCAATGTCTAAATATGTGAACACGAATGTCATATTAAAATGTTTCCACATGGCGTTATATAAAAGTGTTACCGCAAATTCAAATGGTGAAGCAAAGTTTTGATGGAAATATGGGGTCCCTAACAATGCGAGAAATTTTAAAAATAAACTATCAGATGAACACACAACATTATTCTAAATATTCAGAACTAGAAGTAAACTATACTCTATTTTTATGATTACGCGTTCGCATACCATTCTTTTGAACCTTTGAATACCGTATAGCTTTTTAATACTGCTAAATTAAAGTAGGACTTAGACCAAGGGTTGGCAACTTCTGAGCCGGATGTGGGAAAATCAAGTCCTCGGTGGGCCGGATTATAACATGAATAGTATTCAATATCTTAATCACATATATATTCGCTAATGCAAGACAGAAAGTTATAAATCGCGTTTAAAGTAAAGTTTGAACTTTACAAAAAATAGAGACCAAAAAACACATAATGAATTTATCATAATGTACACAGTTTTACCAATCACATTTTTGTTTCAAAGACGCAACGCCCTCCAACGATTATCCAATCCGAGCATTTCTTTAGCGATGAAACTCCCGGAATATCGAGACAGTTTTCAAAATCTTTTGCGTTCTCTTCGGGGACAAGTATCCATGCTATATGGGCCTGTGCTGCGAGAACGCACCTCCCCTTTAAAGACCCGGACCCGTTCGGGGGATTCTTGAACCTACAACTTCCAATTGTAGCGGGCTGGAAAAAAAGGAATGAATTAGGTTCGAATAAGAATGATTTACAGTTGTTAGACGTAATATTCTGATGAAATGCTGTTCACTTACAGTCCGGGTTGCGCGATTCAAACTATTTTTTTCCACTGTCCTATTTTAGCAGTTATTGTGGTCATTGTTTTAAATAATAGCGCCACCCCGTGATAAAAAAGTTCTGTGTGTATTATCACTAGATGGCGTTGCAACATGTGACATATTTACAGAAATAAACCCGGAGTTAGCAGGAAGCCGGTTACAAACGTAGGAATTATACATATCAACATCACAAGAAATATGCCGGAATAAAAGTTTAAATGTAACGTTGTTTCAGACATAGAAGACAACTGTTGGGCTTTATACTTCCAACGGTATTGAAAATACTTCTGTATTTACGATACAGCAGGTATTCCATACTGTTCTATACGAGGTCTGAAATTGAGATAAATCCCCCTATAGCAAGAAACACGCACAAAATAATAAATAAACATAATGCCGTTTTAGACATAAAATATGGATTCCCGGGGTCAGAAACTATTGGAAAAAAGGTCCTCTTGTATAAAATATGACTCATCATATTATAAAATAATGCTGTTTAGTGCAATAAAGTCATTTAAATGTTCACTTTCAACTTACAATTGGATGAGCCAATGTTGCCTTCGGTGCTTCGGGTGTTCGCATCAGTAGGGCTGAGTGAACTTGTTCGACCTGCGAAGTAAGAGTTGGATTATAAAAATTAGTTGTTAATCTGTGTGTCTACTTTATGGAAGGGTAGCTGGATTTTATCAAGTTAACTCTAGTAATGCTAAATTTTGTGTGAAGGGCGTCGCACCGATAGCAATTTGATTCATTGTTTAACACTGGTTGGTCCTTACACAGAAATTGCGATGTTTGGCGAAATTCGAGTCAATGGCGAGTGTCGTGACTTTGTTGTTACAGCGTAGGACTTATCTATGTTGGCTTAGCATGCTAGAGCTAGGTGCCCTTCGTCCATCAATCCGGGACAAAATTTCTCTCTAAGCGCATGAACATAAATCTGTACCGGTATTGCTTATGATTAAATTCACTACACTATATAAAATATTCTTACCGTATATTGTGTTTTGCACATCCCGACATCCCCAACAACAATCTCAGAAGCCTTCACTGATCGAGGTCCGTTCACAAATATCGGTAGAATAGTTCTCTGTTTTGACATTCCGCCGAGGATTCGCTGCTGCGACCCGGACCTCACTAGATTTGTAATACCAATTCATATATATGTTAGTATCTTGACTGAGCAGATGATTCAAATATTTAGAATCGATAAAAATTGAAGGGGGGGGGGGGGGGGGGGGTAATTTCCGAATAACCAGACTGGTATTATGATAAAACGCACATGAGTTTTTATTGGTCTTTGCGCATTATGGTATGAATAATCGAATTCTAGGAAGGAAAGCGTCTTATAAGGCGAACGATGTTTGAGGATAAAAAAGATTTAGAGTCCACCTATGGTCCGTAAAATAGGGCAAGCCTTTATACAAGTGGAAAACACGCGCTCCCCACCGACGCTTGATTATCTGCATTCTTTTTTACGGTTCTGGGTCCGTCCAGTTTATCGAACCAAATCGATTCTGGTTTGCATTCGATTTAATATTCCTGAACTCAGAGGTGAATAAAATAGTAAATTTTTGGCTTATTTTAAGATTCTGGATTTGCGTTCTATTCGATTTGATATTTCTAAGTCAATAGTTGATAAGAATAGTAAATTCATTAGCTTATTTTTTGACTGAACCAATCCATAGGATCATCACCCACCTTTGTCAGGCTGTACAGCCATGGGCATCACGTCCTCGATCATTGTCAGAGTCATTCCTTTCTTATTGTCGCCATCCCAGTTCTCTGTCTCCTCTGGTGGCGTGTCTCCGTATTCCACGACTCGTCTTGTTTCAATCTTGAATCTTAAAATATAGATATAATGTATTAACCGGGTAGAAGTCCATAAAGTCAGTAAGGTGGGATGTCCTGGCTGGTAAAGCGTTAGTCTTAGCGGTTATGACATTGTAGATTACACATCAGGGCGTCATGGTATGATACATTTTATAGGCAATGCCTTGTAGATTGCTCCAAAAACAGTAACTCTTACATATCGTTAAATATCAGTAGAAGTTTTTGTACAGGGCTTTGTTGGACAAGCGATCATATGACTGAATAAACCCGGTATCGAATCCTAGACCTCTAACTTACCTCGATGTTCCATTTGACATCATCAGCTTCAGTGTGTTCATCCAATCATCGTTGTCTTGCATCATCGCCATTGCTTTGTCCAGAGAAGCCTAAGAGAGAGCGAGAGAGAGAAAAGTTTAGCTTTTCATAAACAGTTAACACTGGCCTATTCAGAATTTAAATAAAAGCGGGGACATTTTTAAAAAAAAGTGACGTAATGTAACCCGACAACTTTGTGCAAAAAGGGGGTCATGCTAATATTGACGTCACAATATGTTTGGGAAGCATGGAGTAGAGAACATTTCTCAATACGTTTCCTAAAGAGGCTAATGCTGGCCTCGTGCCTTACACTTGGGGTAAAACTCAATAATAAATTAGGCAGAAAATATCTAATAATAAAAAAACGTCTGTTTACAATTTAGTGGATGCTTTTTTAGAGACTTGTTCATGGGAAAAAGTGCGGACAATGTTAAATATTTACCTGATTTACAAGAACTTTTTCTTGGTCCGCATTTTTCGGAGATGACGTAGTCGGAATATTCGTGGTGTGAGGTCCCGCAGGAAATTTATAAACTGAGACGGGCGTTGCTACAGTTACAGTGACGTAGGCAGTGACGAAAACGAGAAATTTTATTCCTTCCATTGTTGTAAGTTTGATCTTCGTGAAATATAGTAAATTATTTAAACTTAAAGATTCTAAGGCAAATCATATTATATGTTATATGCATCGATTAGCAAATATTCTAAGTGATTTAAATTTTGTTACACACTGACACTAATGTATTCCCGTAACATTTTTATGTTCTCTACTGTTGGTGGGAGTTCCTGCGTCCTCTTACAATTCTACATACCAACTGACTAGTTATTCCCTTTCAATGAGTCCTATTCAATGCGGATTCGTATGCTCATAATGCAAGGATGCTGTAGCAAGATTAAAGATAACTATCCCAAGCGATCTATCTATCTTGCTGCGCATTACGACAAATATATTTCTGTAACGTTTCGTCTGGCCAATGTCAGACTTCTCCAGACAAGCATACCTGTCTACTGTGAACTGTTTCCCTGAGAAAGTCTGTCTTCTTCCTGACGAAAAGTTATAGAAATACATTTGTATTATACGCAAAGCTGTAAAATCTGTCTGAGGCATCAAAACTTTCGTTTGGCACTAATGATAATTTATCTCTGATTTGCCAATAACAAGGAAGTCGATGCACGTTTAGCTTCACGAACCGATACTGAAATAATACTTGTCTGCAAAATACGAATAATTAGTTACAATAAAATATTTAAAAAAAATTTCTTCAGCTAACTGAGAATGTTTTGCACAAAACCTTGTTACATATGAGCCATAAGGTGACACGACGGCGCCGGACAATTTCCCAAATTGCAATTTTCTGGTGAATTACGTGAATTACAAGTAATATTATGTTGAACATGCCTTAATTGCCATCTATTTCGTGGCTTATGGTTTATAATACTCTGTAATGCGACACCAACTTTAAAGTCGGCGATCATTTCTATAATTCACTGAGCTATTATGGTTATGAATGCGCATTCTGTCACAATTAAATTTTTAATATATGTTTTCCATACTTGTTTAATTCATATCGCATCTATAAGCCTTCCACTCTGAGCAAGGCATTGTATAAGCAACATTTGTTTGTTAACAGCTACTATCTCTTGAAAATATAGATGTCTTTTGGGTTCGGCATCACACTCCCAATTTATTCCACCCTGGGTGTGGTGATGGGTATTGGGTTCGCCTGCAATGCAAACAGTTGAATACAACGCGAAACAACTAAGCCATGTATAAGAGAAAGAAGCATTAATTAAGACTGAGCGGCCACTACGTTTTACCTGTCATGCGCGCGTGTTTTGTTGGTGCTAGATATATGTCGATATAAAATCTAACTCATAGAAACCTGGCAAATAAATCATGTTGAATTTCTGTTGTTTCAAAGTGGTGTTAACTGGAAGAGTCGTACCGTATATAACAATAGACGAAAGCTAGCCCATATAAAATTAGAAAAAGTTTATTATTAATTACTTTCTTCAAGATTTCATTAATATTAAACCAAACATGACTATTTATACATTCCATTATTTTTCGGCTATTAGGCTAACAATACAGATTCGAATCTGAATCAATATCTTGTCACCTTATCACCGACAGTCACTAAGATCTGAATCACGGCGTAAATACGGCAATGTGACTTATATTCACACATTTATACCTTCCAGCTATTCTTGAGAAATTAAAAATTCCCGAGTCCTCAAGTGACATCTGACTGTTGTTTATAGAGCAACACCTCAAAATTCAGAGCCAAATTTAGTTTTCCACTAATACTAAACGCTTTTTCAATAATTCGTGTTTTGCTCTTGAGATTCCACTCGAACTACTTGACTTTATTGAGAAAATTACGATTAAAGTCTATTTATTTCAGGGAACGTCAAAAACTGAAATTTATTTTAGGTATTATCGTATACTTCAAATTTTCGTAAGTTGTAATCCACTGCAATAATTCAATAGTTCCCATTTTTGAAATCCGTTTTTGATCAAAAAAATAAAAAGCCGAAAACAGTTGACATTAAATATGACTGGTCCAAAAATAGGTTCACGTATTGTTCTCTGCATATCAGTAGGTGCTGGTCTGGGTCTTTGTACTACTAAGGCATGGCAACCGCTTGGCAGAGAAAGAGTACCAACATAGCGTTGAAATGCCGACGTTCAGAGCTTATACATGTCTGCAAACCGCATTTAGCTGTTTGCTTGGAATTGCAAGCGTGCTGATTTTTAATAGACTGAACACTGAGTTCGACGCAAAAATCCAAATTTCGTATCGACTTGAAAATCAAATTTGAAGTTCGACTCAAACTTAGGTTCCTGAGTCTTAGCAGTAATTCCACAAAATAAGTTCGGAATTCGGCTTCAACGCATAAATTGGTCCAAAACGAAACGCTCGTTATTTGAAGATTCCAGTCTGAAGTTGAAAGATCAATTAAAAGCGAATATTTCAGATGCTTGATCAGAACCAAAACAAAATTTCCGTGCAATTCTACACTCAACGAGAAGTTGACACTCTTACTTTTTATTATCCGTCCCTTCTCATCTACCTTGTCTTAGCTTTGAATCTCTGACAACGACACAGACACACCAATGTGGCTTTTATATCCATATCTGCTCGTCAGATTTTTTTGCCAAAATACGTCGACCTGTCATTCACATTCATCAAATATTTCGCCCGCAGCGATATTTTCTGTCGTCTGTTTATGTGTAACATGCTTCTGAAATAATGTGTGACGACACAAACCTATTTTCTGAATTTAACTGTTACCTCTTATTTTATAATTATGACACAACAAAATAAAATCATTATCTTTGTGTGTATTGTTGATAAAGCATGAAATTGACAAAATTTGATTGTTTAATTGCGTCATTCATAAAAAAAAAATAATTAATTCAAATCAATTGTCAATTAAACTAAACATTGAAATAGACAATTCACGCACTTTGTAACGTTGGATGACGTCATAGAGTACACCAATATTAATTACGTTACTAAATTATTATGCTTCTTATTCGTGACAATGCAAAACTAGTCATGCATACCAAATCACGTGATTTATGATGCATCCATATTTGATTGGTGCAACAACAGGATATCCGGCTTTCACTTCTCGCTAATGCAAAGGTTGGCGAATACTCTACATTACTAAATATCAGATATCTATAGAAATATCCGCTTTCTTTCCTTGCTAAGTTTTTCATGAATTTTCTCTCAAGGAGCATTACTTTTGTGAAATTTATTGTATTTGTAAGAGAAATAAAATGCAAATGTCGCATTGATTGTTTTCCCTTAAATTTAAAAACTTACCAAAGAATATTCGCTTGCCAACCTCGCTAGCTTTCTCCAAGATTTTCAATAAAATTTGTTTCGTAAAATTTTGTTCAGAGCCAGTGTTTGTGTTTAAATACTATTGTCAGATGATAGATTGTGGTTCTCTCTTGTTCTTTCCAAAATTTGATCGGGTAGGCGATATTGTACGGAAAATTACTACACCAGATACGATACCAGTGGCTTCAGTGCCTTGTTCGGAACGAAAGTCATTAAAAGCGCCGTACAAAAAATCGAAGTTAGTAATCCTAGCACAGTGGCCGATTTCATTAACTCACTCATGTATTTTCACATTGCTCTTTTTTTCCCTTTAACTTTCTATTTTCCCCTTTTAATGGTGTCTCTGGAATTACGAAATTATAACTTCAATTCTCCTTAGTTATTTACAGAGACATTACCTAATTTCTGATCTCATTGTTTGTTTGTTTTACTATATTTAGTCTCTACTTTAAGAGAAAATCAAGTGTTTTGTTTATAAAATCCCCCGATTTAGGTAATATACATAATTATAAACCTATATTAATCAAGTTTTATAGTTTGCACATGACCATTTCTTCGTTAATAGCCGGACCTTGTGACTTGACAATTCTTTGGATCAACGTAGGAAGTCCCCTATAGCTTTGCGCAATAAATGAGCCTGATATAAAATTTATTCAATTAGGCTGAATGGCCCAGTTGTCAAAGCTTTGGACTTGGACCATCGCGGGGGCAGGTTAAAATATACCCGCCACTTTAACCAGAGTGTAATAAATTCGGTGGCATTCCGCTTCTTGCGCAAAGTAGTAGCTTTCTTTATACATATCAGTGTCCGTCCAGTTCGGAGTGGAGGAATAAAAACCCCATATTAAAGAATTATTTCAAATCGACTTTTTGCGTCTAGTTCTGACATGGTCAAACTACAACCCGCGGGCCAAATCAGGCCCATTGGTTGATTCAATCTGGCCCGCCTGATGCTGCCACAATCAAACTAAAACCAAATTTTATTGAGGCTTATTGTTTTCCACTTTTGGATTTGTAACACTGTAAATATTGTTCATAAAATGCAACTTTCTACGTCACACTCACATGACCTACCTCTGGTCTCGATCGTTCAAAAAAGTTTCACATTCACGATTTCCCCGTTCGTCATAATAATATTTTTGTTTATTTAAATCTCTCAAAATATCCACAAGTGGGCGTCGAGAGATCTTGAAAAAGTAAGACCTGGAACGAAGCCGAAGTCATCGTAACAGACACGAGGTTTTAAAAATAACTTTCCGATCTAAAATTATATGAGATTCGAATTAATCACATCACGATGTTTCGAGACAACGAGTATTTGTCACGCGATGACACGCAGAGCTCAAAATGAACAATAAATTTTTTATTTTTGCTACTTATTAGTGATTTCACGCTTTGAAAATAAACGTTGAATTATTGTATTGTATCTTATAAGATTTCCAAGCATAACTATGTTTTTTATTTTTACTTTGTTCAATTTGTGATAAGATAGCCTAGTACGTCACGGTTAATTACTATCCTGTTATCTTCGCTGCGTACAGATCTTGAAACCGCTGGCTTTTTCGATTTCGAATTTTTTTTTTTCATCCTATATCGAGTTCGACATTTGTGTATTTCTTGTCACCAAGATTTTTTAGGCCCAAATCAATACATCACAGTAGAGATATACAGCAAATGAGTTTCGGTATTTTCAGTTTCCAAAGTAAATTTGTCGTTTTCACCTAATTCATAATTTTTGACGTCAGTGTGCCACTTTTCTTGGAGAAAAATAGCAAGTAATTTTATCCGAATAGTAAAAAGCCGAAACTGCAAAAAATAATTTTTCTTCTGTTCAAACAAGATGATGCGCAAAAATCGAATAGCTAAGTGCTTGGAATTGATCCAATCTTAAACGTTTGCTTTTTCGGTTTCTGAAACGAAATTGTGTGTTAAATCTAAATCCCGACTTTCCTTTCTCTCTGAGCTATGTGCAAGAAGCCATTGATAACTGAGAAATTACTAAACTTGCGGTATTTGTTGCTCCTACACTGTCATAGCACTGACATGGGCAAACTATGGCCCTCGGGCCGAATTCGGCCCGTTGGGTAATTCAATCTGGCCCGCCTGATGCTGCCACAACCAAACTGAAACCAAATTTTGATGTTTCAGTTAAAAATGAATCAAGAAATTTGTTAAGATTGCGATTAAATTTAGTCTTTTTTTTTTGTTTTCCACTTTGGCTTTTGTAACACTGTAAATATTGTGCATAAAATGTACCTTTTTACGTCACATTTGCATGGCCCGCCAATCTAAGCGGACAAAATCTTTGGCCCGTTGTTCGGAAACTTTGCCCATCTTTGGTATAGCAAGTACGAATGCGTAGAGCGCACTTTGAGTGAAGTTGTGGACCCGACCATAACTAACAGTTAATCAGACATAGATATTCTGAAATGTATTTAATTTATTAAAAAATGCAACGTTGAGTTCACAAAGATGAAAAATATTCCGATTATAAATAATAAATATAGCCCATAATATTCAATATATTTAACAATTTGATACAAATAAAATATAAATTCTGTTATAGTGGTAAACTGTTTAATAATCGGGAACATATTTTATTTATAAAATGCTTTCGCATTTTTGCTCTCCTAACACATTCGTAATTTCTATTGTTTAATAGGCTAATTTTTTGTTCCAAAAAAACTTCAAGTTATTTTCATTTCAAAATTTGTTGGTTTGTTCAAAAAGTCACGACGATTAAAATATATTCACCAAATTGATGAAACAATTTGAAGACGAGAAATTGTTTTTTGTATGATTTCAAATAGGATGTCATGCAGTATACAATTTTGATAAATTCAGGCACACTTGATATTCGGTATTCGAATTAATATTATAATACTCACGGGGATTTGTTACAACGAGTATTCATTGCAAAACATTTTTTGGAAACTCATAGATAAGATCTCATAAGACCGTAAAAATTAAGCGTTCGCACTAATTAACACATGAATATAGTACAGTGGTAATTAACTCTGGGTAAATAAGAAATAAATAAAGATAATAACTGTGCAGATAGTACGTATAATAAGTTATGTTTGAAAATAAAAGATGCATTAATGCTATATATGTGCCAGTGTGGCGTGGTTGTGGCGAAAGCTGCTGAGGAGGGGAGTTTCCCGCAATAGGTATAAATAGTCAATGTCAAATGGGATATTTTTATTTAAACTTTGTTCAACTTATTACCGCGTCAAATAAACACGTAATATTGGATAAATACAAGTTTTTAAAAATACCAATTTTGAGATATTTTCCTAAATATTCTCTCCAAATAAGGCGGTTGTAATAAGTTTGGACTTGACGAGGAGGACCAAGTATCGGAGGCCGATACCCGATTCATATATCACAATGAAGCTAATAGGATTGGTTTTATGAGCCAATAGGTCAAATGAAAATAACTTTTTCAAAAAAATATATAAATTGGAGCGAATTTTTTTTATAAGCGACCATGTAAGCATCTGCTTGTGTCTGATATCACTCTGATTTAGAAAAATAATTGACAATATTTTATACAAATTCACGATGTCGGTTCGTTATATTGCTCATGGAAATTACTTCTACCTTAACCCATAAACCCGTATTCGCGTTATAAGTCATTACCGATGATAATTTAGGCGATCGCAGTTACGAATTTTTTATCTATTTTTCTTCAGTACGCAATATCCAGGTACAATAATATAGTCCCAACACTGCATGTCCGATGAGTTAGCAATCGCAAAACAATTTTCTCTGTTATGATGGGCCATGTCAGCCTGTGTTGCTCTCACCCATGCACCATGCGGATAGCCAACCACCACACATTCCTCGTTGCCAGACCCTTGAGGAGGGTTCGAGAATCTGCACTCTATGTCCCTCGTGGCCTGAAAGATTAGATTGAAGTTTGATTAATGTGAAATATGAGTAATTTTACGGTTATTTTATATTAGTTGCATGAATGTTAAAAAGAATATGAGTTTGTCAATGTTTCTAATCTTCATGAAGAATATTCAACATTTTATACGAGTAATGAATGAAAATAATATAGAGTTTATAGAACAGGATATCTCAATTTTTATTTGTAAGACAGCTTTCTTGAAGCAAGGCACTTATACGTTCACAGCGCACTCACTCAAGAGTAAAGGGGTCTCAGCATGCAATACCCCACGAAAAGCTGGTTCGTGTTATTATGTTTGGTCTACTAGTTGCAATTCACAGATAGAGAATACGCCCTTTTCAGTAACTTTGCAGTAATTTGGATGTCTTGCCCACAACAATCGCTTAAATCGCAGCTCTCAAATTTTTCTTACTGTGATTTCTACTCGCTGAAGTCAGTATACATTCTGTCACACTACATAAAACAAGCAAATGTGCATTCAAAAAATGTTGTTGATGTCGCTAAGGCTTTAAATACTTACAAGTGCTTGATACAGAGTTACTTTGCGATTCGCACTTCCTCTTGGAAAATATAAATATCCTTCGTTGATTCGTTCGGCCTTTTAAGAAAAAAATATTGTATCAGTGTTGTAATGTGTCGGCTGGCCTGTACACAGAATTGCCCGAAGAGAATATCTAGAAAAGCGTTTCCCAGCCAGTCGGCCGCGTTTACATTAAGACTACGTTGCATGGGGATGCATTGTTATTTTTCTCATATATTAACATTCCGTGGGTCGCACAAAAAGAAATGGCAATAAAAGTAGTTCGCGAGCTAGTCGTTCGTAATTCTGTTATGCGCAAATCTTTTTACACACCATTAGTAACTCTTTTATCGCTCTAGCTTTTTTAAGTTGCTCAGAGCATACCGGTATTAAAATCTATCTAGCTGATAACGCGACAGTGGTATCTTGCAAATGTCCTATCAGAAATTGACAATTTTAACTTTTCTGTCAGTACTAATTCCACTTCAAAGTGAGATAATGTGACCTTGATTTTAGAAAGAAAACTCAAATAAAAACGGGACACTTATCTTCGCAGTAAGTAATGCTTTTGAGAGGAATGAAACACTTACTGATTTTACAATTGTGCTGCAAGCTCCTATGTCACCAGTGATAGGAATCTTCTGCGATGAGATCAGTGCTCGAGCTGTTGGGGTCGAACTAGGACGTTTAGAAATGGCTGAATCAAGGCCGGGTGGGGGTATAGCTTGTCTGAAGCCTAGAAATCTGGCCCCACTTCCGACTCTGGCTGTTGTTGTTGTTGTTGCTCGTGTAGTGCTGGGGGGTGGAGGGGGAGTGTCGTCAAATTTAATCGAAATAACGTTTCTTATTTTTACTCCACGTCTCAACTGTAGAAGTCTCGATATGATTGAATTCCATACATGGGAATCGGCACTCGTTATCAAACCATTTCTCGCCTGTTAAATAATGAAACAAAGTTTATTACTTATTTTTTATATTAACCTTTTGTGACTATTGATCCCTTTCCGGGGACTTTTAACACTCATTCCCTCCTGTTTATCATTACAGTGGTTTTATTGCGTTATTTTGATTAGTAAATTCCAAATTATCTTATGATCAAACAATTTATGCATTCTAGCATTGTGGTCCCACTCTAACTGACCTGTGACCCCATTGCTGTGCGGGTGTATCCAGTTCGAATCCGAGTCTATGCAAACATTCAAAGTTCTTAATCATGGTGTGATATGTTAGATATTTTTTGGGAAGCAGATATTACAAGTGAAAAAAAGCCCAAAATAGCCCCAGTACGGTTGGTTCAAATTTCTTTCGTATAAACCAGTATCTGACTGGAGTTGCAATCCCGTAAAAACACACATTTTCGTGGGCATAACCTATTGGCCAATCCCCAGTTCACTCCTACCGTCAATATGTATTATTCAACTAATCATGTCAAATCTAAACTCTATTCAATATTAGGAGTTTGTGGAACCTTGACTTGTCGGATAATTCTGTAATTCATTTTTCTCCGAACGAATTTGCAACAAATAGTACATGACTTTCTCTAGCTCTCATCTCCCAACAAATATGAAAAACAAACAGCTACTCACCACCATGTTTATCGACTTAGGCGGATCGATAGGAAATTTCGGCTGCGGGGTTGGCGGCCTTGGAATATTTTTGATCCCGACAACCTGAGGTGAAGGCGATGCTCGAACAAGTGACACAACCAGAAGTATATTTAGAAGGTGATTCATTCTCCCGCGCTTTTTATATCGTTTCGTTTGCGTAAGAGTTTCGATGTTTTCCCTCGCTTTTGTAGATAATTAACTCTTAGTTCTGTGACGTTAGTTTAGTAATATCTGAAACAAAAAATATTTATTAAATATACTATAAGAAAAAAGCTGCAATTTTACTTGTATTTTATCACGATTTCTTGTCAAGGTTAATGTGTGCACTCGCAACACTATTACTTTTTATTTGAATTTTAAAAATCTCTTCTGTGGAAAATTATCATCTCATAACGACAGCAGGTTTGATTTTTAAGACAGCCACACTAGTGCAGTACCAATCAGGTGCGACGTTAATTATAAGGTCTATAAAGAAAACAATAAACCAACATTTAATTCTACCTCTCCAGTATAGCTTGGTCAATATGCTAACAATAAGACAATTCAAATTTAGAATAAACCCAAGATGTAATATAGGCAACCTGGAAAGATAACGGTTATTTCAGATCTAGTAGATTTCTATGCACCAGTGGCTTTACAGGGTTCAAGTGAAGCTCACCAAATCATTAAAATAAATATCTATCAACACTACATACCTCTGCTCAATTCCATATAAAACTAAACTTCATTATTAACGAATCTTGTTGAAACTAAACTGCTTTCTGTAAATTCTTAGAGCAAAGAGTTCTATCTATATTAGATGGTTCAAATATCTTGCTTTCCACTTTCACGAATTTGAATTCTGTATCGTTTGCTCGGCCAAAGTAGACTTCCTCACCATTCAATAAGGCCGTTTTGATTCCTGCTACAGTATCCTTGCTGTAGGGATATACGGACTTATTAACGTGAAACCAGTGAGAAAGAAACAGTATTTGAGTTACGCGTTACCTAAAATAATATCAGCCTTGCAAAAGCAACTCTCACTTCTCGCCACTGCACTAGATTCTCCCGTAATATGTGTACCAGCTTAGGGTTAGGCCATAATTTTATTCCGATATTCCTTATTTTAGTTCTTTCATGGGTTAGGTGACTGTCTGTGTTAGCCAAGTGAATATACCCCCTGCCCATAAGTTTCAGTCCCTTTACACAACTTGATGTAAAGTAGGCGAACAAAATTAGTTACTTCCATATTGGTACACATACTTCTGAAGCGCCCTAGATTGTATTTTTATTCTTATGTTTTAGTCTCGCTAACATGCGTTATTTATGCAAGTTATTATGAGTAATAACACTTCGGATTTTCAATTCGTGATTCAGAATTTTTTCTTTTGCAAACAAATTAATTTGAATTTTAAGTTTATGCAACAATTCAGAGATGGTTTCGATAAGACATAATAACCAGCTGTCACGTTCTGTGCCGAAATAAATTATTTTTGGAAAGCACTCGATGTCTCGTATTTCGTGGATTTCCGGTTAATCGGCGTGTCATATCTTTCGATCTAAGTATCATATAGCATAGAAATGAGTTTGGTTTTTATTCTACAGTTACTATTTCAAACCAACAGTATAACCGTTATTAATATTTTTACCGTTAAACTTCTAACTACCATTGTATCGGTAATTAAAATATTGTTTAACGTTACCTTTCCAAATTACTGTTATACCTGTTGTTATTAGTATTATAAACTATTACCCAAACTATCGTTATAACCGTTTTACTTTTATTCTTTTCAGCCGTTACCATTCAAACCATTCTTTTAACCGTTTTACATTCATTTCTACCAACCGTTACTCTTGCAAACTATTTTTCTAACCGTTTTACTATTTTCCCCTGGTATCGTTCCAAACTATCGTATAACCGTTATATTGTTTTCATTTACTCTATCAAACCACCCGTAAAACGCTATTTTTCCAAGTACCGTTATAACGGTTTGTGACCACCACAACCATTACCGAAAGTGCATAGGCATTAATAATTCATCATTAGTTTCACAAGGCAGACAAAACCTAATTATCCAAAGTAAATTCCATCGATTTATCGAAATCTGAAAATCTGACGTCATTTTAATGGTTTTATCCAACCCCGAAAAAATCGTAAAAATTTTTTTTCTGGAAATGAATGATAGTAAGTTGGTTATTTTACAATAACATGCATGACACATGCTTGCCCTGTTCTAGGATCGCGGTTAACACAGACAAAAATTTTGCGTGCAAAAGAGAGTTCACAACGTTACAATCTTTAATTCGTCGTCTTATTACATCACACTGTTTTCATAGTTATTTTAAACATTGCACGAAATGACCCGGAAACACTGAATTTCTTGAGTAATTGGTGAGAAGCTAACAATATATGTATCGTTATTTTCTAATAATTGCCCTGGCCCAGTAGCATCTGCATCTCATTGACATTTTAACGAAAAACTGCTGGCCCATTTAGCATTTCGATTTTAGGCCAAACATCATTGAAATTCTACATAATTACTGTCCAACATTCATTTTGATCGATTACATTTGATTGATGTTTGTCCGTATAATATGACTTGAGATCAATAGTTCTGCAGCCTTCTAAGGTAAACGCGTTCGTTTGCATTCTTAAAAAGTGTAAAAGCAATTTTGACTTTACTTCGATGCAACTGCGCACAAAAAAAGATTATTTCCACCAGTAATTTCCTTTTACTAGACAATTACATTAAGAATTGAACCTAGACACGGCTTATCGATGTATCTTCCATCCCTGGCAAATATTACTTATTTTTATGCGTTTAATTAAGCGATTGGCACTTTCATTTGTAATTTTCCGAACTCCAGACTGCGCAAGGGAAGGCCACACATGGCTGTAAATTTTGCGCTTTTTTAGTAAACACTGACTTCTAACGAAAAAGTCCCGAAAATCTATATCGAAGTGTGCTTCTTACTTCTGAAAAAGCATGTCTTACCTTATTTCTATGTTCTGGCTCTGTAAAAACATAACTTAAGCTTACTAAGTTATCACATTCGAACTTTTCACACAGGTCTGACTCCTAACGAAAAAGCCCCGAAAGTGTCTGCTCATAGTAACAACTTTCCCGCTTCCTTTCGACCGCATTGCCAACAATATACCAGTAGATATAGTAAGGTTTAGTAATGTTAGGTGTTATGTTACAGCCTGTCACAGGATGGCTCGCTTTTCATTAGTCATGGAGTCAAAATATAATTTTCACAAAATCTAATATGCGATTGATTATGCGAGCTGCGGTCCAGATGGTTGAAGTTACGATTAATCATATTCTATACTTCAAATCTTCGTTCCGAACAAGGCACTGGACAAGCGAAACAAAATCTCATATGCAATCGATTACGTCTACCCCGATTTGATTTGAGTTTTTCAAGCACCCTTCTGACCAGAAAAAAGCCTTAAACAAGCAAAATATGTTATTCGTAGTTCTGCTGACCTATTCCTAGAATATATATTGCGATTCAAATCTGAAATTTTCTCCCCGCATTGCGTAGTTCCTTTACCGTTGGCTGTATATAAACAACCGCAAACCCTCTACATATCGCCTCGAGATCTCGCAAGCTTATTTTCATTTGAGCAAGTTCAACTGTAATGAATAGGTATAACCTGAACCAACCAGCCAAGCATAAAATGAAGGATATAGAATCCATTATAATCGGTCCATGCTTGTTACATACCTGTCTCATTTGCTATAATATGCAATAAAATTCACGAATGGTTATTGTTACACAGATTGTAAATTGTTTATTGCGTCATAATGAGCCGCAGGTAAGGTCGTACAAAGCGCGAGAAATGTCATCGTCGTTAGTAAATGTCATTTCATACTTGATGGAGATGACGCGTGGGTTCAATATGGCCTCAATAAAGGGTATATTAATGTATAATATCGCATTTGGCTTGCAAAAGATGTTTATTAATCTAGAATCGAAGGTAATTGAGTGATGCGCGGAATTTTAATCAAAAAACGTCAATCGTTGCGAGTTCATTACTTTTTTATTTTTAACTTTTCTTTTGCGAAGTTAAAGTACCGATAAGAGGTTGTGATAAGTGGTTCAAAGGTGAACTTCGATTCAATTTCTGAAAGTAGTGACAAAGATGTCTTATTTTACATTAGTTTTTGATATTCCGTTTCGACATTTCTTAATCCTGCTTCAAATTGACCATAGCACGAAATTTAAATATAGAGTTGGATGTTGACGTAGCAACACGAAAGGTCAAAGTTGCCACAAATTGCGCTAGTTTCAATATTGCGCCACTATAATTATAATCAAACGAACGGTTAATCTGGGGTTGTTTACAGTGTCGTCATCAATATAGACACGTCACTACTATTATGTAAATATGGTAAATTCCTGTGTGTGATATGTCTCTTCCTGAAGTATGATGTCATAGAGTTATAGTATGACGATACAATCAAACCAATGTGACGAATATAATGAAATATCAAATAACTTTATGTCGTGGATTTCTCATATTGTGACGCTCATTCTTACCGCGTACCATCTGGTTCAGACACTCCTCTTTCTCAAGTATAATTGACATATCTATACTTGAACAGCTCGTAATCATCGGCGCTCCGGATGTATTCGTACCAAGATGACGCACAACCTGAACAACTCAACCTGGTACACATACTATGTTCAGGTTGTGCGCCATTTTGGTACGAATATTTCGGGAGCACCTAATCATCACCAGATGTATTGATGTTGAGCATAAATAACACACAACCGTTGTTACCGAAGCGATGTAACGTCACCAGCATTCCGAATTTCTAGACTGAAAAACTCCATCTTGGAAGGATATATTGATGACACAAGTATATTGAAATTCGAAACGCGGGCAACTTACATTGTTTCCTATAGCAGCGGTTGTGCTTCCTTTTCCCCCAAAATCTCTGCTTATTCGCACCACTCATAATCTAAGTCGCCCTGACTAACATCACTGCAAGAATGTCAGTAATTTTCTGTCCTAAACTAAGCTATCATTCTAATTCAAAGGTTCAATTTTACCCAGTGTACCTGTGTGTATTACAATCTATATCTAAGATTTTAATCTTGAAGATCAGAAAAAAAGCTCAAATTTGCAGGTGGTTTCTTGTCGCTAATATGGCACGAATCGATTTGTTTGCCTAATATTAATAGACTCTGATATTTTAATAATCTGTCTTTGTTTCCTGAGATATATAAAATCGATTTGTTTAAATGGAAAT